CCACCTCGGAAGGATGGAAGGCTGAGTCAACCTTGAGCCGGTGAGATTTGAACCGCTGAACTGCAGATAACAGTCAGCTGAAGTGGCCTGCAGTACTACACCCTAACCACTGCACCACCTCGGCTCTTTGAATGTCTATTTAATCTAAGTGCAATTTAAACTTAGTTAGGACCAGGATCAAAACATTGAAGAGAGGCTTATCTCCTTTATTTTGCTAACTGTTAACCTATGTCAAGATTTTAAGTATAATTTTTCAGTGTTTCCTAATTTAAAATTGTGAGAAAACGTGCCTTCAGTTTCCAAGACTCATGGTGAGATGGGTTCCAGTGGCCTCACAAAAAACATTTCGGGACCCGGCCATTACTTATCCTTGATTTAGAAAATAGACTGAGAAGGCATACATTATCTTGTTATGCTGAGATCTGTTAGCTTTCTTCGTTGTTGTTCAGTCACTAAGTTGTGTCCAACTCTTTGTGACTCCAAGGACCCCAGCATGCCCGACCACCCTATTGTTTTCCAATGTCTCCTGGAGTTTGCCCGAATTCATGTTCATTTGTCAATGACACTAACTATCCCATCATACTGTCCCTTCTCTTTTTGCATTCCCCAACATCCAACAAAAATAGCTTTCTATTTAGTTTTATCATACTTTTAAGATTTATGCATAAATATACAAATCAGCAAGCGCAAATTTTATGTGAATTTGTGTCTTTTACCAGTTGTCATAAGCAGAAAATCTCTGATGCAAGATTAAAGCGTTTCAAGATATCTATGAAATAAAGAAGGCTATGAATATTCCGATTGCTTCCATACATCAGAATTGAGGTCCAATCTCAGGCAGCCACAAAAGCTTTAAGTGAGGTTCTAGGAGGTTTCAAGATTTTATAAAATAACATTTATATAAGACAAAAAGAGAAGACTATTATATCCTTGACTGGAAGATAATCATATAAACTATATTTAACTTACTGACTATAAATATACAGTATATATAAAAAAATCATGTCAGATTCCATTTTTGTCTTGGCCTCAAATTGTGGCTGTCTGGAAGCAGGTCTCAGGAGATTATCCAAAGGACAAGTATGGCCTTTGACACAGAAAAAGTTGCACAGGAGCCTGGAACTAAAGTAGCAGCAACAGCAGTTTTGTTGACACGAGCCATTGTCATGTGAAAAATTATGTGGAACATTCTTCCAGTGACTTAGATTACTCACATGACTTATCAGCTGATGGTGCAAAATTCACTCAGCTTCTGAGAACTCTGCCCTTCCGAATTAGTCACCTTGTGTAATTTGGATCAACATCTGTTGTTTCTTCTTTTTTTCCACATATAAAGTGGGAGAATCTCACAGGAAAGATTCAGAATTCATTATAAAAGTTCTAGCAAGACTTCACCATTCACCACTGAGCGAAGCAGAGCCCTTTTCATTTCAGGCACATAAATCAGCCATTGATTTATGAATGGGGATTCCCAATGCCCTTCCTGTTCCCTTTGCTGATGCGTGACAAGATTTTGTTTAATGAATCGGAACTTGTACTTTTAAAAACAGCTTGATTTTTAAGATATGAATTTAATCTTAGATTCATGCAAGGAAAGAGTGACAAGTCTAGCTGGTTCAAAGAAAAGAGGATGAAGAAGATGGGTTCCTAGCAAACTGTTTTTTAACTTAAGAGCAGGGCTGTCAAACTCCCGGTGCGCAGGCCAGATGTGTCCTGTGCTGGTCACGCCCATGCCCGGTTTAGCGAAGGAGGATATGTCATGCGACACTGCCGTGACCATGTGAGTTTGACACCCCTGACTTAGAGGAATGCACCTGTAAGGATGTATAAGATTTTCACTTTCAATTCAAACATCAAGGGAGAAATTTGAAACGAGCTTGTGACCATTTAGATACTTATTTCCCCACCTGCTTTGAGAACTGCTTTGTTTCAGAAAAACAGCTGATGGAATTTTATTTTATCACATGGTTATACAGTATATTACTAAAATTAACTGGGGGGGGGAAGGGTGTTGCAGGGAAACAATGAAATTGTTTAGTTTTGAAAGTATCTTTACTTTTCAAAATATTTTACTCCTTTCTAATGCAAACATAGATGATTGTGAAAGCACTCAAAGACATAAACAATTGGGGTTTGATTTGTTATGCAAACATTATGTAATATCCCTGTGTACAGTATTGGCTAAGGCAGTGATGGTGAACCTTTTCAGCACTGAATGCCCAAACTGGAACACGCGTGAATGTGTGTGCATGCACGTTTCAGAGCACCAGAAACCCAAAGACTAGCTGGCCGGTGTGTGCATGCCTGTTTTTTGGCCATTTTTCGGGCCCAAAACGGCCTGAAAAGTGGCCCCAACACAGCCTGGAAAATGGCCTGTTTTTCGGGGCATTTTCAGGCTGTTTTCCGGTGTTCCAGTGCCCGCAAAGACCAGCTGGCTTTTCAGCACATGTGCCTGCTGGAAACCAGAAGACCAGCTGGCGATGGCACACGTGCTCACAGCGAGGGCCCTCTGTGCCATCTCTGGAACGCATGCCATAGGTTTGCCATCACGGGGTTAAGGAAATACATGAATAAATAAGGCTTGAATAGCTCTCATATACATTGAACTGGAACTAATGAACTACTAGGTGGCAAAGTAATTTTGCATTCCATTTATTTCCTAATTTTATATGTTAAAAATATGTTATTTGGAAAGGGTGAATTGTCTACCCAAGTAAGAGTTTCAACTGAGTGTCATCAAGCAACTATGGAAAAGCTGAACTGACAGTTCTAGACTCTTTAGGATTCTGGGGCCCTGGACAGAAAGTATATGTCCACAATAAACATTTTTCCCTCTTTTATCTTACTGAGTCTGAGCTACATATCATAAACCTGTGGCAATACCCCTTTTGTATTGCTGCCATGACAACTAAATGAAGGTTTCTGTGAAGTCACCAGGAGTCAAGCACTATTTGAAGGAAAACTTTCCCCTGTGGAAGCCAAATAGCAGAAGTGGGAGGTGAGAGAAAGTAGAAGTGAAGGATCATCTGTCTTGTATTCACGTGGTTCCAAAGTTTCAAAGACTGTCTGATCAACAGGTATGATTTACCGATGTTGAGAAATTTTAAAAATGGAATTCTATCATTTACCTGGGAATAAGCATCCTTGAACCCAACTGGATTCATATTTGAGACACATACAAGATTCCACAAATAGAAATTTATCCGTTCTACAGAAAAATGTGCTTTCATAAATGGCTTTGTATTAGCCAGCAGAGTGAATTTCTGGGGCTAGAGCAGAGGTCTTCAGACTTGGCAACTTAAAGACTTGTAGACTTCAACTCCCAGAATTCTCCAGCCAGTATAGCATAGCTGGCTGGAGAATTCTGGGAGCTGAAGTCCACAATTCTTAAAGTTGCCAAGTTTGGGCACCTCAGGGCTAGAGAGTAGATAGAAGTTGTTGTATCTGATTTGTGTAGTGAATGTATTCATTCTCTGGGAGTAGACAACAATGTAGGTGTCCATTCCCATAAAGTCACAGAACTCAGAAGCCAGGAAGGCATTTCTTCAATGAGAAATCATTGTAGTTTCTAAACTCAGCTGAAAACAATCTTCCAAGTGCACTTTTCTAGCAAACACCAGACAAACTCCTAATTCTGTGCTATTCCTAGCTCAATTTTGTACCACTGGGATCCCCCTTACTGTATTAAATATTGGAGATCTCCATGACAAGGACAAACATCTAAATTAGCCCTTATAACCTTGAGTAGTTTAGTTTCCATTAAGCTATCATAGAGTTGGAAGTTAGAGTATCAAGTCCACTTGGTTCAATAATGTTTCAGTAGAAATTTCCATGAGTATTTTGGGCTGGAAATCTGAATAAAAACAAGAAACATTAACCACCTTTGGAAACTAGTGCTATTCTAGTAGTTAAATTTCAATTTAATTAATTCAGACTATAAGCAATGAATTTCCAACTGCCCTTGAAAGCTGAGGGATGGGAGACATAATCAGAGGAAGGAAAAAGTGCAATGTCTTGTTTTTTAAGGAAGAAGTCATTTAAAACTCAGACAAAGTTAACATCTGCAGGAAGCCTATTAGCTTACTAAGGTCTTTAGAGAACAGAAGTCACAGGATCTAACCATGTTACTTAGCTCAGCAATTCTTTGTTGCCTAATGATTTGCTAGAAGCAAAAGGAAATCAGAAAAGCAAACAAGCAGGCCAGTAAATGTTTAAGAAGAAAAGACTGGGTGGGGGGAAAGTCATGAAAAAGAATAAGTCAAAACTTTTCTTTGAACTGGAAATGGAAATTGTGAAAACATGCTGTGGATATTCTTTCACAACCAGTCTCCTTGTCAGAAAGCCTCTAATATTCTCTGGAAATGTTTGAACTACTAATGCAAAATAATGTTTTCACAGGGCATTAGAAATGAAGCATCAAAGGTACTGTATGAGGAACAAGGCACAACTAACGCAGTGACTCTCAACTTCAGCAAGTTTATGATGTGTGGACTTCAACTCCCTGAATTAAGATGTCTACATGTTTTAAACTTGAAGTTGAGACATACTGGGATAAAAGTATGAGGAAAGTTTAGGAACTGTATAGTACATGCATGATTAGATATAACCTTTTATTAAAAAATGCAGTGGGCAAACACCAACATTTCATTTGCAGCCCTCAGATTTTCCCATAATATTTGGGTCTCCTGGAAAGGGGATTTTAAGTGACAGAATAAGTACCTTGTTCCTGTGCAAAGTTTAAACCACTTGTTTCACTTGCTAAAGCAATAAAAGTCCCCAAATCCTAGACCAACTACTTCTGCTAAGTCATATGATTAACATCCCATTTTCTATAGTCTCCCAGACAGGTCTGGAAATACCTTCCCACCTCCACCCACCGGCTAAGATTTTATCCATTCAGGTGAGTCAGAGTGTATATGTTTAAAAACTGAAACTCTTTTTACATGGATCACATGTGAAATAGTTGTAACAAGAGCAGCCCCCTCATCAGTCATGGCCACCATATTGACGGAATCCATACCTTCAGTAGCAGGATAAAAACTACTTGGATCAAGGAAACAATTAGTATGAATATTAGGTTTTCAGATAAATGCCATTTACCAAGACTCACAAGATTGGCATAAATGAAGGATATATTTTAATGACAGCAGATCTCAAATAATTCAGACTTTCAGAATCCTCCTCCTTACTAAGCTAGCTAATGAAGAACCCTTACTTTTCAACATGAAACTCTTGGCTGCTGGGATTCTCTATCTTCAAGCGCCACAAAAGACACGGTGATTAATGCTAAAATAAAGTTCAACTTTCTCCCCAACTGACTTCTTTGTACAGGTTCAAGGGAAAACAATAACTTTGTTGTTTGCTTCAGGAAGCCATCAGAATAATTTCCAGATTAGTTTTATTGGAAAAACTTCATTTTGTGCTAACTTCCCTGGCACTATTAATTTTCTCTTCAAGCAACATTTCTGAAAATCCTGGGGAACCCCAAAGATTCCAGAAAACAGTTTAGATTTGTCAAGTAAAAGCTTACAGACAGAAATTCTTATGCAATAACATATTGTCCATTTAAACACAAAAACTACAGAAGCACACAAATGGTTTATCAACTTTTTAATTCAAAGATTGCCCTAAATACGGCAATGTCTCCTATTAACTTTTGTAAACATACATCAGACTTAAAAACAAACACAATGTATATTCTCTTTCAGGAGTAGCTGAAAAATAATGCTTCCATCACTCCTGAGCTTAGAGACCGTGATTCGTTCCCTTAATGAAGCTGAATCATGTTAAAGCATTGCAGCACGTTTCCCCCTACCCAGCTTTAATGGGGAGGGAGAGATGGATGGCTTTTTATTCTTGAGCCATGCAATGTAAACTTTTAAATTAATAATGTATCCTTCAAATCATGAAAGCACTGACCTACAATTATAAAAACCAAGATTATTACATTCATAAAAGGGAATTTTGGGAAATCTATAACCTGTAAATGGTTGAGACACCCAAAGCCTCTGTAAAAGGATTATAACTAAACATATTTCAATTTAAAAGAAGAGCTTCTGTAAATCAGCCCATTTGTAAAGTATTACAAATAAAAGTATCACAGGCTGACCCAGAGAAATCCAGGTGGCAACTGGGAGGGCTCTGAAGAACCAGGGAAATCCAGAAGCAGCTCCTGGAGTAAAACGCAGACTGGGTGGGACCACAACACCGCATACTGTGAAAACTTTAAAGTGTAGGACCCAGTCACTTGTTTTAAAAATAATATGGGCTTGTTGCTTTGTAGCATATGCCTGTAAATGATTTTGCTTTGAGTTAATTCCTTGTTGATTATTCCAGATTAATGTCATGGTTACTGATTAATTGATTGAAAGGAGGTAGATTTTACTGGAAAGGATAGTTATCCAAGGCACACTTGATCCATGGCCAACTGTATTCTGCAAGAGGAAACAATGGCAAATTATTAAAACCTTGACAGCATTAATGTTTTATATTTATACATCAAAATTTTATGAAGTACCAACCACTAAAGCACATTTTCACAGCACACCAATAAAAATGTGGAAGTTACCAGAGCTAGCAGTGGACAAGGACTGATAACATATGTGCCTCTCTTTCTTGAAATCCCACTGAGATTACACTATAGAAATTTGAAAGCATTTTTTTAAAAAATTAAGGTCACATGAAGAGGAGGAAAATTCCATCCAGGAACGTCACTGCTATATTCTTTATGGCTTTCGGGCCTTTTTTTAAAATGGCCTTTGATTATAAAATATTGCCTTTCAGCAGATCAATAGATAAAATGCACATGTGCTTTTTTTTACCTGACAACTGGATACCCTGTTTCACAAACATTGACCAAGGCGTACAGCTGTCTCAGAGCATATTCATACTGAAAATGAAGACAAAGAAGAGAAATTACTTTTCATCACTCAATCTTCAGGTTTAACAGATTTTCCTAGATTTTTAAAATCCAATTCCTTTTCAATGGATGCATCTGTTTTCTTAAGTTGCTCAGTTTCTGAAAACTCTGAGTAACTCACAGCAAACCAACATAACAACAGTAAAACCCAAAACAAAACTGTTACTATTTAATTGAGGCCAATCTGATGCACCATCCCTTAAAGAAAGAGTAATACTCATCTTCAAATGCTCTTCTCAAGAACTATGTTGTCATAGCTCTTCAGAAGCATAATAAGGAATGGACGTCGAAATAATGGGATTCACCGTTCCATTACTGAAAAAACTCAACAGTGGGTCTCTGCTGGTATTTCCTCATAAGTGGAAGCCCTAACAAGCCTTCTTCCTCTGATGGCCTCAGGTGGGCAGATTCAACCTAAGGAGATGGTCCCACTGATATATGCCTGAGCCATGTGAAACTTTCAAAGTGACAACTAGCACCTTCACTAGTACCCAAAAGCTAGCTGGCAGCCAAAATACCTTCCTTGGTAGTGTTTGTACAAGGATTTTTTTTAGAATTTGATTTGGTACACCCATAACAAATGAGCCCTCCACATCTGACACTTTGGAATGATATTGATATAGAGCAAATTGCAACAGTTCAGCTCCGTAGTCACAAGGCCAGTTGGCTGACTTATTTATGGGCATATTTGGATCCAGCAGAGGACTGTTTTCTACTATGAAGTAGGTACACACCATACCAACATTTTTTCCCCATAATGGACGATTTCAGTAATTTTTTCTTCTGTTGAACAAAGTCACACTTCACAGCAAATAAAGACGTTATTGATCTTTCAGACTTGAAGAAGCTATAATTTCCAGCTGCCCCAAACCAACTTGGCCAACAGTCAAGGATACAAGAAATGGAGCTCAGAAACACTATGCCCAACATATCTTAGAACAGGATATAAAATACACTGCTTTCCCAAGGCTGCTACAATGCTATCTTATTCAAAATCAAAGTACCTTGACACGAGCCCTTGATAATTCCAAACAACTCTATTAAGATTGTAAGATTTACTTTTTGATTAAGTGGAAAAACAAAAATGCAAATATTCACAATCCCGGTCAACCAAATAACCAAACTGAACTTTTACTTCCTATACAAATAGAACAGACCAGTTTTTCAATTTTACAGTCCAAGTAAGGCCAGTACCAATCCCTGTTACTTTGACTAACACCTTGAGTTAACTTACCAAAGGATTGTGCCAGTTATAACAATGTTTTTTAAAGTGATCCATTGCTGACTCGTAACAGTCATAATTTCTGAGGTTCAGTCTAGATGACAAGATTTTATCTGCATGCTCTTTAGAGCCCGTTATTAAAATCATAATCTTGTGCATTGATTCCTGAATCACCTGTCTGGCCTAAAAGAGAAAAAAATACAGGGAAAAAATGATTTTTTTAGGATCTTAGAAATACAACAAGAATTCCTCAAAAACACCAGAAGAATGAATGAATGCTGAATCAACTTTCTTTTTTTTCCAGGATAAAGTAAAACAAGAACAGACTTTGAAAAACCACCAGTGAGACTAGAAACTCAGCGACTGCTAAGTGAAACATCACAATTTTCTGATTTTAATTCAAAATTTCATTTCGTAATTGCAAGGACTGGTTGCAGAGTTATTTTTTTCATCACTGTGTAACTGCAAAGAACGGCTGTATAAGACAGACATTAAATGAGAACTGTTTGTATTCACTTGCACATAAATGTTTTCCCACCTACAACCTGCCTAGAGATATCGTAATAGCTTTTCAAGGTTAAATTTTAAGAAAATATCTGGTTCCATGTCATTCATAACACTTAAGTTCTTAGTATTATCTTCCTTCTCTTTCAGGCTGAAGTTTCATGCATTTTTTAAACTTTTTGGAATTTCCCAATTCTGCAAACCTTGAAAATAGAGGTTATAATTATGTCGAAGGTTGTAAATATTTTGGTCACAATTCCATAGTTATGATGCAACAATATACAATCCAGTCACTTCTGTAAGAAGTAATTCATTCTTGGACTACAACTATTAAGTTAATAGAATTTAATACACTCAAAATATACTTAAGATTTAGGTCTCAACGTTTGCAATGTTTTCTTTTAAACCGGATTAAATCTGAACCCAATACATTTTTTGAAAAGGATATTTCAAGTCTGCATTGGCAGCTGAAATGAAGTCTGCATTGTCAACTCAGCTGAAATGAACCAGACTATTTATTTTTAGCTCATTGGTTGTTTACAGTACCTATTCTTAAAAACATCCTTGCCAAACTACATACAATAAAACATTCAAATTTAATGCTTCTGGTCCCAGACTTTAAAGCTCTAAATAAAAAAAAAAGTATAATGATATCACAATAAGACAAGACCGTGTGGAGTTTAGCAACTTGCTATATAGGTAGGACTCAGGGGTGGGTTTCAAAAAGTTTTACTACCGGTTTGGTGGGCGTGGCTAGATGGCGGGGCATATGACTGACTGGGCATGGCCAACTTGATGTCACTCACGCACTCAGTCACGTGACCCTCTCACCAAGCCATTTCCACCGAAACGGTGGTGAAAACTTTTGAAAGGGGGAGGGCGCCAGGCCAGGGCTCTTCGCTGCCTTTTTTATTTTTGGATCCCCAAAGCACGTGATCGGGGAGGCGTGCTGCTCCAAGAAGCTGCACTCGGCTGGCTCCTGCTGAAGCTTGCAGAATGCTTCTGGGGGCTGGGGGAAGGCGAAAACACCTCCGTTTTAGCAAAAAACAGTTTTTTCGCTGCAGTAAAGACCTCGCTGTGTTCCTGGGCCACAGGACTCACATGTGTTAAGGACCCTGTATTCTGGATGCATTCAGAGGTACAGTTTTACATGGTGTCATATATATATATATTATTTTGCACTGTTTTAATTGTTTAATAACCTTTGTTTTATGTTGCGCCTTGTTGAGATAGGTGATTTTACTAGTCAAATAAATATGGTACTGTTATTATCAGCTGATTTTTTTTCCTAGCACCACAACTCAAAGGCATCGTTTTCTCCTCAAATAAAACAATGAAGCAGAATTTTCTAAATACTGAAATTCATTTAATAGCACATTTTAATCCCCTTGGGCAGATAGCAGCATGAATTAAGCATCATGTAAAATCATGATATAGTTTATTTAGTTAATGCATTGCGTGAATTTACCACACAGATTGAAATTTACTAATAAATCAGGATTAAGCATGGTTTAATATAAAGGTGGGCAATTATTTGCCAGGAGCAACATTTCACATATGGGGGAGGGGGGCAGAGTAGATAGAGCCAAGATGCAAAGTACCGTATTTTTCAGAGTATAAGACGCACATTTTTCCCTTAAAAGGGGGGGGGGGGAATCTGGGTGTGTCTTATACACTGAATACAGCATTTTTGGCCTCCCGAATCCCCGCTCCAAAATGGCCTCCCGAACTCCCTTCACCAAAATAGTTGTGCATAGCCTTCAGGAGGCTTCCAGGGGGCTCCTAGGGGCTGGGGAGGACAGAAATAAGCGAAACACAGGCCATTTTTTTTGCTCAATTTTGCCCCCCCCCCCAGCCCCCAGGAGCACTCTATAAGCCTTTAAAGGCTATACATGCCCTTTTTTGGACAAAAAGCAGGCCCTTTTTTGCTCAATCCCCCCCCCCCCCAGCCCCCAGGAGCACTCTATAAGCCTTTAAAGGCTATACATGCCCTTTTTTTTTTTGGACAAAAAGCAGGCCCTTTTTTGCTCAATCCCCCCCCCCCCCAGCCCCCAGGAGCACTCTATAAGCCTTTAAAGGCTATTCATGCCCTTTTTTTTTTTGGACAAAAAGCAGGCCCTTTTTTGCTCAATCCCCCCCCCCCCCC